ATGTTTTTTTCAGGAAGACTTCAACTCTGACTCATAGGAAAGATGACTCCGAAGATGTGAAATCTGAACTGGGATCTGTGCTGTGGGCCCTGTGGGCCAGGATGAAGCTTGTGGAAAAGGGTGAAATGGAAGGGTCAATTAAGGACAGAATAGGATGGCTACTGTTTAACTTTTAAATGTGGATTCCGGATCCGAAATGTGTTACTTCTGGCACTTAAGTCATTATTCCTTACATATTCTCACATTTCATGTTTATTAAAGTGCTGCTGTACAATCAAGCAATGTGACCCCTACCGGACTTTAGTGGGGAAAGGAACATGAAGAGACTTCAAGCAGGTTATTTGTTGTTAGGAAGCAAAATCAAACTGATTACAATTACAAAGGAGTACCATATGGTGGAGACAGAACCATCTTGAGAAAATTGTCTTAACGGCTCCTAAACATGTAACTCATGACTAAAGACACTGCACTGTTACGCAACATGAGTGTCAGGGAACAAATTTACTCCTGACTCATGCTTCTGTATTACACATATTACTGGGTGTTCCCTTCATTTTAAAGAAATGTGAACATAAGTGTGTATACAAAAATATCTGATATCCAAAACTTGAAAACACAACGGCTATTGGGCTAAGAAAAATATGTTGGCCCTGTGTCATCAGAAGCACTCTTCCAAGACGGAAAGTTACTCCACCTTCAAAAAGTACGGCCAGAGAGCCAACTTCCTGCATGACACCAGCTGGCCCCCACCGCTTCTGCACAACTGGGTCCTCCTGAACTGCCCAGACAAGACAGGAGAGTGAAGGCCCTGGGAATGACATAAAAATAATCCCCCTGACGCCCCTGCACCCTATTCTGCCTCTCTTTTGCATTAAGGCAAGCAGGGAGAGATCCCAACTCTGCCCACCTCCAGCCAGTGGGTTCCTCGTGGTCTCCCTCGCCCCACCCACAAAACACCTCGAGGGTGCTGACCAAAGTAGTCCACAAAGTGGCAGAAACCAACCCCCCAGTACCTGCTCCAGAGGTCTCCTGGCTGCCCCCCGGGTCATCCGGTAGGTCCCCGAGACTACATAGCTCTCTCGACCACATGATTTTCACCGACTTTATTGGCCCCGGACTCGGCGGGCCCCTCGCCACCCACCTCCCCACTAGATCGCCGCAGACTCCCATAACATCGAGTATATTGAAAAATACTGCGGGGTGGCTATGGAAAGAGCCTTTGCTGGGGAAGCCAGCTCCCCTGTGGCGGTGGCATCAGGGTCACTTGCTCTTCGCCTTCTGACTCTCCGTCTTCTTGGGCAACAGCACGGCCTGGATGTTGGGCAGGACACCGCCCTGAGCAATGGTGACTTTCCCCAGCAGCTTGTTGAGCTCCTCGTCGTTGCGGATGGCGAGTTGCAGGTGGCGCGGGATTATCCTGGTCTTCTTGTTGTCACGAGCGGCATTGCCAGCCAACTCCAGGATCTCGGCGGTCAGGTACTCCAACACCGCCGCCAGGTACACGGGCGCCCCAGCGCCCACTCGCTCCGCGTAGTTACCTTTGCGCAGCAGTCTGTGAACTCGGCCCACCGGGAACTGCAGGCCCGCGCGGGAGGATCGAGACTTGGCCTTGGCCCGCACTTTACCGCCCTGCTTTCCGCGACCAGACATGGTTACCTCTCGCCTGAAACTCCTGCGAGAGGAAAAACACAGCAACCGGGTCCGAATAAGTGAATGTAATATACCAACACCGGAACTGCCTCTATCACTTTGCTGACACTAGGCAGCGCCTTCCCATTGGGCGCAGCGACATATTCGTGACCAATAACAGGCAGGCTCCGCTTCCAACCAGCGCTCCGGCAGAGGGCCCGCCTTCTCCAGTTCTGTCCAGTCAAAAGAGCAAACTCCTAGCCCTCATTTACATAGCCTCTCGTATGAATACCCAGGACCGACCGCTCCGCATTTGGGGCTTCCGTTGAATTGATTGGCTCCTGATATTTCAACGTTCAAGTTCGCTCCTAGGAAAAGACCGTCTTAAGAATTAAGGAACCACGGTTAGAAACAGAAAAATTCGGGAGAGCTACCCGGTACAAGTACAAAGCACTCAAGCAAGAAATGCCTCAAGCAGTTGAGGTCCAAGATGATCCCTATGGTGCTGTGTCCCCCAGGTGGGTTTTCTCACATTATATAGCATCCTAGCCAGCTTGTCTGACTGCAGACACACATATCACTCAGCCTGCCGTTTCTTTAAACAAGCGTCTTGTCTCCTGCAAACCCAGATGCGTCTGCTCTTACTCAGCAGTGTGGGGAGCTGGCTCCAAAAGATGCCTGGGCCTGATCTGGCCGTCTGAACTTTCTTAACCAGCCCAGATGACAAGGGACCCCTGACGCAGTTCCGCCGCTCACAGGTTGCCAATCTTCGCTTCCAGCGGCTGTGAAACCAGAGTGCTACACTAGACGTGAATGCTGTCTTCACAGACTGCGGAACAAAGTCGCTTAGCCAAAATTTAACATCTATTGTCTTTTGAGATTATGAGCCTGAAAAGAGTCTCTGGATTCCAGGGAGAGGTTGCAGTGAGGCACAAAGTTTTGGCCTTGGCTTCCTCCTTATTGATCACCGCTGATCATGTTCTCCACTGAGATTTGGGAGCCCAGAGGTATACAAGGTCGCATAAGACATTGTGACGTTGTGGTGGCACTTAGCTGTCCCTTTTTCTAGCCCTCTACTGCCCATGCGACGCTCAGAGGTCATGAAAAGACTAGAGGAAGAACGGTAGTAACCGTCCTTACCCAAATTGCAGAGCCATAGCATTTGGAACAAAATAAGTTCCTTTTTAAATTAGAAATTATTTTTTACTAATTCACTGATGTAATTTCACTTACCTCAACATTTCCCATAATTATACAATTACACTGCTATGTATCGTAAGCGCATTAAAATAAGCGACATTTTATGTCGATTATAGTATCCGTTTAAAAGTAAAATTTACCCTCCCACCATCCTAATAGATTTGATTTGAGTGAAATCACATTTTCAGAGACATCCGCACATGTTCTTATTGCCTAGAACACTGATTAATCTATATACAGTAGGAACTCAATAAATGTCTTTAGAGTTGAGAAGCAGCATATTGTCATGATTAAGTCAGTCGTCCTGGAGCGGGACTGCCATGGTCCAAATCCTGGCTCTACCATTTACCAGCTGACCCTGGATAAGCTCGGTGCCTACCCCAAAGTGTTATTTTGAAGATTAAATACGTTAGTAAGCATCCAATAACTGCTAGATGAACTAGATAAATGGACATACAAGTCTCTGATGCAGTTATTAGCATGTTCCTGAAATAAGTTTTGTAAATTTTGCTTAAATTTTTGCTCATATCAAAGGAAATTTTTAACAATTATTGTTATTATTTTGGACACTTTCTCCTTTTATTCTTGTAAGCAAAAAGGTTTTCTAACTTGAAAATTTTGTTTTAACCTTGATTTTTTAGTCTTAACATATATAATCAACCAATTTACCATTGTAAGAATCCTGATCTCTTCCAGATCTGATAGACTTCTCTTCTTCCCTGTGAGTCAAAAATAAAAATCATGTAGTACAATATGACTATTCAGGATTTTTGCAGCCATACAAACAGTATTCTAAGGGTTTTTTTGTTTTTGTTTTTGTTTTTTTTAGAGTTACTTTTTATATAGAGAGAGAATGCACGTGGGTGTGCGAGTGGAGGAGAAGGGGAGGGAAGAGGGACAAGCAGATTGGGGGTGGGGGGCATGCTGGGTCTCAATCTCAGGACCCTGAGATCATGACCTAGCTGAAAACAAGAGTGGGAGGCTTAACTGACTGAGAGACCCAGGCACCCTTCTGAGGGCACTTTTAATTTATCTTTAACAATAAAAAGTACTTTCTGTGTTATGCAAATGGGTAAGAATGGGTAAATTATAAGCATTTAGACACAGACAGATATTTACTATAAAGCTTTTCCTGGAAAGGCTTATCTTTGAAGATTCGGGACAGGGAGCACAATTTACTAAAATAAGAATTTTGAATCATCCTCTAAATACTGTTACTTTTTATTGCAATAAACCGTTTGGGAAGAGAGACAGTCCTGCATTCTAGAGCAGTGACATTACTGAAAGTTTCATTCTTGTTCAGGGATTCTCAAGAAAGGATTGAGAGCCTCCTGATGGGCGATTTGCAGTACAAATCACCTTTTAAAGCTACCGTCGTGGCATCTCATATTTTAAGAACTTTGAATTTCTAAGTGGGAGATGTGAGAACCTCAGGTTTGAATGCAATAAGAAGAAATTTACGATATTTCAACTAAAAAACCATAGAAATAATTATTTGGTTGAAAAGCAAAGATACGCCGGGTTGGGAGTGCTACATGAGGCAAGAACCTCTGAAAGGGAAAAGTCTGGGAGACGGGAGGAAGGGGTAAGGTTAGACTTTGTGGAAGAATTTTAATTCTTTCTTTGCGAGGCGTCACGAAAGAGAAAAAAAGAGCTATTATTTAAAATGTCCTCTCCCCCCACTAGTGACTGAAGAAGAAAAGGTGTAAAACAACTGCTTTGAAATATAACAAGATGTAACGCATTTCTGGTTACTATTTATTTTCCTATTAGTCTAGGAATGGTATTGTTAAAGGAAGCATTCCTTTTGAAAAATAAACAATTAAAATTCGCGCGCGCGATATGGGGGTGAGGGGAGATGGGAAGGAGGGAGGGGATTTGTACTGAGCACTGAGAAAACGCAGTATAAATTCCATTGACTCTTTCCTCAATTTTATGGCGAAAATAAAAAGTATTTCCAAGAAAGCAAACAACAAAAATCTGTCTTGTTCTGATTAAGGCTCCTTCACTCACCATTGGAGGAAAGACAAAAGCCTCCTGAGGCCTAGAGCTCCGCCCATTTTCTTGAGGTTTTCAAACAGGTCCGCAACAGGACATATAAGCCCTGGTCTCCACGCCTAGCGTCTGTACCTGCTTGTTCTGAGGTTTGGATCTCGCCCTGTATTAAGAAGATGTCTGGTCGCGGGAAAGGTGGCAAAGGGCTGGGAAAGGGAGGCGCCAAGCGGCACCGGAAAGTCCTCCGGGATAACATCCAGGGCATCACGAAGCCTGCCATCCGCCGGCTCGCCCGCCGAGGTGGTGTCAAGCGCATTTCTGGGCTCATCTATGAGGAGACCCGGGGAGTCCTAAAAGTCTTTCTGGAGAACGTGATCCGCGATGCGGTGACTTACACCGAGCACGCCAAGCGCAAGACGGTCACCGCCATGGACGTGGTGTACGCGCTGAAACGCCAGGGCCGCACCTTGTACGGCTTCGGCGGCTGAGCAGTTTCTGCGGCTTCATTTCGAACTCATAAAGGCCCTTTTAAGGGCCCCCAGAACGTCAAGAAAAGAGCCAACACTTTATATACCGTGTGAATGGGACCTAGGTGCGGATAAAGGGGTCCGAGGAAGCCCTGCCCTGGCGGGTGGCTCCGGTCTGCGGGTGGCGGGCTTGGGGCATAGAAACTGGGCTTTCGTCTTGATTTCGGGTTCCTTGTGCAGTAAGAGATGTGTGTAAGAGCGAACGGCTACTAAGCAACCCGGCCTTCTGTCCCCAAGCCTATATGGAGAAGCTTCTATGCAAATTAGGGCTGGCTGGTACTGCCTCCGATTGGCTCGGAGGGCCGCGCGTCAGAGGGGGCCGCTCCCCACGGTAGACCGGTCCCCGGAGAACGCGGGAGTGGGATGGCGCGAAAGCGCTAGGTGCTGTCCTAGTGGCGCTCCGGAGTGCCGCAGAGTGTGAGTATTTTCTTTCTTTGCTGACGTCTGAGTAGGAGGGGACCAAGTCCCGACGCCTATTGGAGGCGGCAGAGCGCGGGCGATTTCGAAGGCGGGGCCTAGCTCGCGGCCGCGGCTCTACTGGGTATGCGCAACACCTGGCGGGTGGGCGTCCCGGCCCGAGTACCTGGCAGGGTTGCTCGAACTTTCGCTGACCACGGAGGTGCCTGCAGTGCGGCCAGGCGCGCGGGGCAGCATCCTGCTGCTGCTCAGGAGTCAGTGTCGTGTGACCCGGTAGCAGCCGGGAGATAAGCCCTGGCTTAGGAGTAAAGGCCCTTCTCTGAGCTGCCGGTGCGGCTGGAGGAGGGAGATGAGTGGAGGGCCGCGTTCTAATAAATTCCGCGCAAATGGCGTGGGCCAGAAAGCTGTGTGGTCGCGGGTCTTCCTGCTCCGTGATTTCAGCGCGGCGGCCTGGCACCCGGAGCCAGGCACGGCCAAGTTTGAGGGCGCTTTGCCCAGGTGGCGGGACACAGGGGGACCCGGCGCGGTGCGGTCCTGCAGGGGCCGCCCGTGGGGCGCCGCGGGAACCGAGCTTGAGACCGAGTTTGAAACATTTCTAGTGTTCCTTAGCGGAGGCTGGCATTATACTGTTTATTGGGAGTCAGGCGCTTTGGCACTTTGTGTTCGGTTACTGCGTTTGATTTTCCGGCAAATTTATGAAGTATTGTTATTACTGTTTTACAGATGAGGAAACTGATAATGGGGGGGCGGGGGTGTACGAACTGGAGGCAGGATTTGATCCCAACCCTGTTGGATCCCTCACCCTTTGACCTTAACCCATTTATGACTCTGCTTCTGCCATAGAGGCCTCTTGGCCCTACTTTCTGATATTTTAGTTGTAAGTACTTCTCTCTAGTCCTTAAAGACTGAAGTGTGTTGGTGATTCCGGTATTAATTAAATTTTTAGGGCACTGAGTCCCAGAAGCTCTACTTTCTTTAATCGAAGTGCAAAAAGTGACTTAAGAGAGCAAAATCTGGCACACCTTTGTGCCTCTCTATTTGTTGAGTGTGAATTTGAATAGATGGATAATGTACCTATCAAATCTCCAATCTAATATGAATCAAATTATTGAGGGGATTTCTGGGTGGCTCAGTGGGTTAAGTGTCTGCCTTTGGCTCAGGTCATGATCTGGGGGTCTTGGGACTGAGCACCCCATCCAGCTCCCCGCTCAGCTGGGAGTTTCTCCCTCTCCCTCTGCCCCTCCTCGACCTCTTGTGCTTTCTTTCTCTCTCAAATAAATAAGTAAAATCCTTTTTAAAATTTAAGGATGAAGATTAGGACCCCAGTGGAGCATGGAAATAAGTATTTATATGGCAGTTCAATATATCTATTCCTTAAGTATTTATTTTACAAGGAATTGGTTGTTTTATTTATTTATTTATTTAGCTTGTATTTTTGGTGACGGCCTCAATTCTTCCTAGCTGCATAATACAATTTATATCCGCCCTTATAACATAGCTATTTTTGTTCATGTTTTATGCTGCTTATAAATTGTAACCAACTTATTTGAGCACAGGAAATATTTATATTTGTCTGTTTAAGTCCCATGGTAGTAGTATCCAGTCCTAAAGTAATCATGTTTTCCAAACCTAAACTGGGTCACATGATTGAGAACACAATAATGTATCTGAAATTGGAACTGAGATTGACTGATTGACTAATGCCTTACTACAAATGTTTGTTAAAGAATTTAAATCTTGGTAATGGCTCTCTCTTAACAGTGTGAATGGAACACTTTTGAAATTAGCAAAGTCATCTCTTCTGATTTTTGAACATTTAATGCCTCATTTGTTCCAACTACGTTAACTCTTGAAGATTCTGAGATAAATAAGCATAGTCCCTGCTATCGAGAAGCTTCTGTTTTCCAAGTAGAGAGGGAGGATAACATCATCTGGGTTGTTGTACACATGTGGTTTATCCTAATGGAGGCCTATGATTTAAGTGCTATTGGTGTACAGAACAGATTTTTGTCAGATTTGGGCTATCTTCAAAGATCAGATGGTAGTTGTTCTGAGCTGAAGGTCCATCGGAGAAGGGGAGGTCACACCAAGTTTAGAGAACAAACATCGTGAACAAATGCCACAGTAGTTTCCAGGCATGCTGTACTGGGGACCTCCTAATGTTGGATGTTTAATTTGTCCTGTGGTCCCAGAATAGTGCAATGGACTGGGTCAACAGTTGGATAAAAACTGAAACCAAGTCCAAACCAATACAAAAGTAGACAAGAGAGAGGGGAGCAACATGGCCAATAAGTACAAAAAGAGATGTTCAGCTTGATTAGTCGATCAATCAGTCGATCAAACCAAGACCACAATGAAATGTAATTGTGCACTCGCTAGATTGGTAAAAACAAAGTGACAATAGCAAGTGCTGCACGAAATCTCTTAAATTGCTAGTAAGAATACACATTCAACTATTTTTGAAACAAAAAGGTTGTCATTATCTTGTAAACTTAAAGATAGATGCACATAGATGCTGACCCAGCAGTTCCACTTCTGGGTGTTTACCTAAGGGAGATTATTGCCCACATATATGAGGACCCATGTTTGCTAAGGTTTACCTTAGAACTGTTCAGAGTAGCTGGGCACTTGGGTGGCTCAGATGGTTAAGCATCTGCCTTCAGTTTAGGTCATGATCTCCAGGTCCTGGGATTGAACCCACATCAGGCTCCCAGCTCAGCAGGGAGTCTGCTTCTCCCTCTCCACTCTACGCCCCACCCCCAGCTCATTCTCTCTGTCTGTCTCTCTCTCACAATGAATAAATGAAGTCTTTAAAAAAAAAAAAAAAAACTGTTCAAAGTAGCAAAAACAAAGAAGCCAAATGCATGTTGACAAGAAAGTGGATGAGTTATATTATGGTGAAATCGGATTTGGCAATCAGAATGAACTGATAAACACAATATAAACTTAGGGTGGTCTACATCCAGTGTTTGGTTCTTCTGCTGACACACATGAAAACTTAAGCCTTCATTTGGCGAATTTTTATTCTGAACTAATACATGCTCGATTACCATCTGTGGGAGCCCTGAGGAACTAATGGAGCATGTTGCCCTCCAAAGAAAATTGACAGTTGCTTCGCCTTTGGGCCAGATGCTTCTATCAACTTCTGACCCCTCGAGAGTATCTCGGCTTGATGGGAGAGTCTTAGATCCCACTTCACATCCTTATAGGAGCCCCAAGACTTATTATTTACCGTCCTAAATTTTATGCTTGCTTATCCCTTGCTTTCAGTTGTAATTTCTCTATTTTTTAATTTTTTGCCCTTTGAAGATTTTCCTGGGACCACTGTAATGCAACATTTGTGCTAGAAAGTTCATTCAGACTGTGTAGTTTGCCAAACTACTTGCAGTGGATTTTGCTAACAATAACATTTGATTTTATATGTCTTCCCTCACCAGTCTCTGAACTCCTTGAGAGCAGGAATCACTCAGATCTGTACCCCTCAAATAGCTCTCTGATCTAGAATTTGAATAGACACAGGCACTTATTAATGTTTTGGGAAAATTGTCTATTTGTATATTTGATAATATGGTAACAAAGTAAATTGAGTTGTTTTCCAAACATTTCTATTTTCTGAAAAGATTATATACCATAACAGTTAGCTGATCCTTGAATTAGTAAACTATTTGCCTTGAAGTCCTGCCCTGAAAGTTTTGTTTTGGTTACATTTTCTGATTCTTTCACATTTTTACTTTTGTCTATTTAGACTTTCTACTTTTTCTTGAGTTAGTTTTCGTAATTTGTTTCCTATAAAGCTATATATTTTATTAAAAAATTAGAAAATTATACACATATCATATTCTAATATTAAAAACCTTGTCTACCTTTCTTATTTTGAATTTTGTGTTGTCTTCTGGTTATATTTTTCAGAAGTCTGGCATATATTAGCTTCTTCAAAGAAAAAAATTAGTCAATTTATCCTTTTAAAAACTTGAATTTTTTGGGGGTGCTTGGGTGGCTTAGTGGGTTAAGCCTCTGCCTTTGGCTCAGGTCATGATCTCAGGGTCCTGGGATTGAGCTGTGCATTGGGCTTTCTACTAAGCAGGGAGCCTGCTCCCCCCACTCTTACCCGTCTCTACCTGTCTTTCTGCCTACTTGTGATCTCTGTCAAATAAATAAAGAAAATCTTAAAAAAAAAAAAAAGAACAAAAAAACACCCCATCCGAGGACTCTGGGATCATGACCTGAGTCAAAGGCAGAGGCTTAACTGACTGAGCCACCCAGGAGCCCCTGTTCAACATTGTTAATTATTAATTATATTCCAAAAATACAATCTGGATCTCTGTTTTTGTATACTCAGTGTATATTGTACCTGATGATATTGTGTTGCCTCCTGCTATATTTTTGTTTCTGTCAATTTATCCTCATTTTAAATAATATTTATTTCATATAATTTGGTCATGTGTGATTTGGTATTTTTGGTATGACCGCCATACTTTCTCTATGGGCTATACCTTTAATCAATATGAATAACTATTTTGACACCCCCCCTTTTTTGGTCCCTT